TTATTATTATTAATGCAGCATTAAAGACAAAAAGCAAAACAAGATCATTACTGAGATGAAAGGGGAAAAAAACCTATTCGTTCTCATTTCTTTCGTTCTTCATTTTGTTCCTGAATCTTACAGAAGAAATGAAACTTGAAGAAACAGGTTTTACGGATATAAAGCACATGTCCAAATCAAGGCCTGCAGGCCAAATGTGGTCCAACACTGCATTTTATGTGGCCCATAAGAATTTCAGAAATGTATTAATGTCTTCAAATAAACATAAGCTGCTTTAAAGCCTGCATTGACTATAGACTACATCTCCCATAATGCACATCGATTATTTCCCCCATGAAATGACRGCATCCCTATACTAGGTGGAGATTGACCGGGGTTTAAAAGGTTGCCAGCAGCAGTCAACATTCACAGTTTAAACCTTTATTTTGCTTCATATTCACCAGCTACTTCAGAATTTTTAAGGACATGCTCAAACATTGTTCATGTGCACAAAATACTACATAGAGCTCAGTTATTGTTAGATGTGCTCACAGGTTTTGTGTTCAACTTTGACTAAACATAAAACATGTTCCTTATCTCATGGCTACATCTCAGTTGATTACAACTGGCTCTTTGAGGGCCACCGTTAACACTCTTGTGGTCCTCAGTGAAAAGGAGTCTGATCTAAAGTAATTTTTACTTTTGAAATCTTTTACATTGTACATCTACACTGAGCTGAGCATTAGAGGAGCCTAAAGCAAATGAATAGATTAATTCATTATGCAAAAAGCTTGAGGTCAGTAATGTTCACTAAATTAACTATGTATTGTTAATCTAATTAAATCTTTTTGCATTTTTATCCAAGCATTCTTGACATTTTGCTGTTAACAGAACAACTCAGCTGAGGGYGATTTGAGCTCACAGAACCCGAGTCGAGTCAAATGTTCAGACATCTGCCTGACAACTGAAGCAAGGCTCGATCTTGCTCACACAACAGAGCGACGATCCTAACAGACGACGCTTTCTCCTAACAGCATGAGCCGGACGCAACCCTCTAGCTTCGTTTGGTGCTACCACTCTGTCAGTTCACACCACTCTTTCTCACTCGACTCCAGTTTTTGTGTCCAGTCTTTCAAGTGAAGTGTCTCTGCCTCGTAGAAAGCATTAGCAGATGATGGGGACGTTCTGTGCTGCCATCACATAAAACTGTGTCCTTCCTTCACTTTGTTCGGGACAAGAAACAGCCTGATGGCAGGGGGAGTGACGGTGATGTGGGAAGAGAAGGTCTGCTTGGGGCGTGGGTCCTTTCCTGTTATCTAACTCTGGAAAGAAATGAGCCATTAARCATAAAATTTGAGTTTTCTGATTTCAGCTGATTC